AAGTACATCTTTCACTCCGCAATCGGTATAAAAATTACCAGCAACAAAATTTATCCAGCGTTTTTTCTATGATTCATAATAAATTAATAAATAATAATTTACAAAAAAGTATTATATTCGTTTTTTAAATAATGTCAATTGAAAATAAATGACACATATAATGTGTCGGTAAAAAAAATTCTATTTCCTATTTGGCTTCGAGCCATTGAGATAACAATGGATCTTGTCACAATGCATCTTGTTTTGCAAAAGACAAGCGTGAGTGACATCAGATTGATTTCTAATTTTCGATTCACTAAGGATAACGATTTTTCAATTCTAACTTTATTCAATCGAAAAATTTTGTACTTACTCCAAAAAAATGTTGGGGGAATCTTTATTTTACCTTTTATAATTTAAATATATAAATCGAAACGAGAATGATAAAAATAATTGCGAAGGAAAAATTAAGAATGAGAATAAGAGTGTAAAAAAGTTATGTATATATATAGTCAAATGGGAGACGAAAATTCTAAAGAAGAAATTACAGTAAAAAGAAGTGGAGGAAAAAAAAGATATAGGTAGTTGAAAGAAGGATAAAGACTTCGACTCGTGAGAAAATATGAACTAATCAAAGCTTTAAGACGTGACCTGGAAAGCTTTTCATTTCCATATTAAAGTTGAGAATTTTTCTCTTATCTTTAACGAGGGATGTGTCATTATTTTGTTAGCTTTTTAGAATTTTGTGTCACTTTTTTTAAATAGAATATATCGCACAGAGACAGCAAATAATTAAAGACAAATATATTCTAAATTTAGGAATATAAATTTTTATTATTTTAAGAATATTTTATATTTCTAAAGGAACAAATTATACTTCTAATTTGTGTCCCTAAAACAGAAGTTAAGATTGGAATATTAAAATTTTTATATAATACGAAAATAGCATAAAATATCTCACTTTTAGAGGAATGAATTTCATTTCGTGGCATGTACCTGGATGAATTCCCGACATTTTAAGCCTCTGACGAACCTCGTAAGTTGACATTCGAGGCAACTTTTAAAAGAAGTTAGAGGAACTACGTCTCAAGAAAATTGAGCCCGAACTTTCAAAGTGTCATAAAAGCGTGAGTTACTTTTTAAAAAAAAAAAGCTTAAAGTAAATACTAACTTTACGTTATACTTTTATGATATTATGATAGTACATTGATATTATATTTATGTAATTAAATACCATTCCAGAAACCATATGTTGTACACCTGTTGCACAAGTTTCTTAATTTTTTTTTCAATAAAAAATTGAAAAATTTTTTATCAAAAGCACTGTGTAAAAAATTAGTATGAAAATTTATAAAAAGAATCATTAAAAATATGCAGTTAATTTATTACTACTCGATGTAATTGTAATTATTATTATTATTATTATTATAAAATGATCACATTTATTACATTCAATGTGTAAAGAATTCATACATGGTAAAAATAATAAGAAAGCTTATTCAATGTCTATAAAAGAATTTTCCATTTTACCGTCAATAATTTCCTTCTTATGATGATGTATATATATGTTCAGGAACGACCCTCTATGATACCTTATTGGATAGCTGGGTAGAAGAAGTTTAAATTGATTACAACGTTGAACTACAGTTGTGGTATATGAAAGGGACATTATGTTGTTATATATTATGATTATGTTGTTACATCACAAAATTATGATGTACCGCTTTTCTTTACCCTCACGAAAAAATACGTACTCTAAAATTAAGAATAATTTTTTTGCATATGTTGAATATGATTTTTTTGAAATTGTCTCAGAAGAACGTAGAAAGAATATGATGTCTTTACGGCCTAAAAAATTTTACAATTATATTTTTTTCATAATAATCAAGGTTCAGTTTAATAAATTTTAACAAGGTGAACAATTTTTGTTTTTAACTTACGCTCAAAAAAGTGTTGAGCGACAATAGAATAAAATTCCAAATTCGTATTTGAAGTGGAACTTGTAATCGTAACATAATTATGCATAATAATTTTCGAAATCCTCTGTTTGGCACTGTAGCCCATGAACATTGGTAAATTGCGTCCATTAATTCAGAAGTCTAAAAAAGTATACACTGAGAAAACGATATGTTTGATTCAAACATAATATGTTTAACCCAAACTTAAAATAGCTTTGTTATACAGTCAAACATATTTATGTCTAAATTAAATATATTCTCTGGTTGGTTCAATGTGAAAATATATTTAATTTAAACATAAATTATGGTTAATTTCAATTTATTCATAATAAATTTTTAAGTTTAAATCAAACATAAAAATTTTAAACATATTTTCAGTTTAAGCCAAACAGAAAATATGTTTGAATCAAACATAATTATTCAAACAAATAATAATTTTAAGCCAAAGTAGAAAATATTTTCTATATATTAAAATTAAGCATAAAAACTGTGTTGGGTTAAACAAAAACTTTTAAACTGATCTTTATATTTGAAACAAATAATTCTTTTTCTCAGTGTAGAATTGAGAAATGTTAAAATTAGTTAAAAAGTGAAAATGTTTTAGAAAACTTTTAATTTTTATTTAAATAAATTACCTTTATAGTGAGATCATTTCCTCTTGTCGTGTAGATATACATTTGAAATAACATGCATAGTTGGTATTGTAAAATAACGTAAAATTGAATTGTAGTTGGATTCATCTGAAATTCAATTCAATTTAATTAATACTAATACGAATACTAATTTAAATGAACTTACCAATGTCAGTAAGAAACAACTTAAACATAGTGCAACAGAACTGCCACAAAATTGGACCAAAATGCTCGTTTCGAATGTTTCAACTACATCTCGAACATATCTAAATAATATTTTAATAATTTAATTTAATTTTTTAATAATTATAATTAATTAAAACTTAACAAAAAATATTTACGTTAGTATTGCTTTGTATCGTTTAACATAATCAATGATTCTTTGTTCATAAATTTTAATTATATTTTCATGATAAAAATAAGAAGAATTATCCCTTTCTGAATATAACGAAATTGTTCGATTTCCACTTTTCTTTAAGTTATTATTGTCAATAATGTCGGTTAATTTATTGAAATCAATTTTAAGCATTTCTATTTGTCCCATCATTGTGATAAAAAATGAAATTACAATCATATCCATCATTGAATTCAGATTAGCAGTTAATAAAACCATACTACATTGAAATATATACGCATATGTATAATAAGGATCTGATGTAACATTAAAAGGATACCAAGCACCATAGAGTAAAACCTTTTCCTAGAAAAGGATAACAAAAAAATATTTTTTTTATTAAATAACACAAAAGTTCTATAATTAAATTTTTCGTTGCTACCTGATTAACATCGACAAGAGGAAATATAATCCACCATACACAAGTCAACAAACACATAGTGAGAAATACTGCAGAATTTAATTTTGCATAATTAGCACTTTTTTTCACTATTGCAAAATGTTCACGTCGACTTGGAATGAAAATTGGATTCTTCAATCTTTTTAAAAGTTGTTCAATTTTCTTTTGTTTCAGAAACATAATTAGCATTTTTATTAAAAACACAAAGCATGTAATTGTAAAAAAGGAATTATCAATTAAATTATATAAATCATTTCGATGAAAATACATATTTATTATTTGTGTTGGTAAAAGGGCAATATTATATGTCACATGGAAACAATAACTAAAGATATTGTAAAATAGCCTGCGAAAAAATTTTTTTTTTGAACAAATTTTTTTTTCTATCAAATCTATATGTAGAATATGAAAATATATATAACCTTAATGTTGGAAGTTTGATTGAAGAAGGCCACATACCAAAAAATGTAAAAATCCCTATAGCTATAACAAATCCATCTTCTGGGTTATAAATGTCCATTATTGTATAGAAACAATTTTCTTCTTCGATTATGGTTGCAACTTAAAGGTATATCTTATGTATATAAATGATTGGGTTGAATTTCAAATTGATTTTCCATATTGCAATGAGAAAATGGAAATTGTTTATTCTACCATGTGGTTACATTACAAAGTAATGAATTCATTTTGTTACGCCCATACATGTTGTCGTCGATTTCGTCTAAATAATTCAATCACGTTTCCTCCTCCTTTTTTATTGATTGAAAAATATTGATTTTGATCTCATTAGTGTCTTATTTTCCTTCTCTGTCATATTCAAAACATTTTGAAAATTATTTTAAAATAAAAAATTGATAACAAAAAAAATATATAAAAATAATTGGAAAATAAAAAATTGAAAACAAATGAAAAAAATAGAATAATAAGTATAAGATTAATAAAAATAATTGTTTAATTTCAAGAAGGTTTGTTTTAAATATTTTTGAAATTTTCTATTCTTTTTCTTTGTACATTTCTTTAATTTATTGTTATACTTGTATAAAATTTACTATAAATAATGTCTGCCATTTACAAAAAAATTTCATTCTTGTTTGTCTTGCTACAAGAATAAATTTTTCTTTTTCGTTCTTTTATCCGTTTTCTTGGGATCTATTTCTTTTTTCTCTCTTGTTCTTGTACGCTTTTCTTTTCTGATTTAAAGAGGCAGAGCTTTTCTGGCTTTTAGACAGAAATTTGAATGAAAAGTGCACCCTGATGAGGAAACGTGTTTACAGTCCCTCTCTCTCTTTCTCCTTGCAGAAAGACCATCGGCATTGTTCACTTTCATTTTGCAGATTACTGGGGTAAATCTTTTGGAATGGGCTTTGTAAAATAATATAAAAACCACATCAAACACAATGCTATGCGTTTTTTTATCAATTTTTTTTCATAATTAATTCTACAACAGAAAAGCAGTTTTTGTGTAGCTTTTGAGTAAAAATATTTTTGAATTTCCATATTAAAAAAAAAGTACAATCAAAATATTTTGTTTTAAAAATTTATTATAATTATAAAAATTTATACATCTAAAAAACTATGTAAAAATTGTATAAAATATAGTTTGTTTTTTTAAACAAATATTTTATTTATTTATGTATTTTGTGAAATTTTTTCCTTTTTTAGTTTTCATTCCGTGACATGAATTTGTTTCAAAAGAATAAAAAATGAATATGAAGATCGTATAATCTGGAAAATAAAAATTATTCAATTTTCTTCTTTCAGAAATTGTGTTTGTGATTTTAGAAAATTATAAACTGTTAAACAAACATTAAAAAATGTATCAACCGATAGTAGAATGAAATTTCCAATTCGTAGTTTAATGGCTTTTTGTAATCGTGTCATGATGATGCATAAAGATTTTCGAAATTTTTTATCTGTTATTAATGTCCATGAACATTCGTAGACTGCATCTTTTAGCTCAGAGGTCTATTAAAATTAATTTTTTTTTACTAATAACTTTCTTTTTTCGTTAAAAAAAATTTCAAAAATGTAAAACTTACCTTTACTGTAATATCATTGCCTCGCCAGGTGTAAATGAAAATTTGTATCAACATACACACTTGATATTGTAAAATAACATAAAACTGCAATGTATTTGGTGATAACTGCAAAAAAAAAAAAAAATAGAAAAATAGAGTCCGATAAAGTTTATATATTTTACTTGATTTTTAAAATTCTTACTGATGTCAATTCGTAGCATGTTACACATATGACAATACTACTTGCACAAATTTGTACCGCAATTCCAATTTGAAATAAATTTGTCACATCATTAACGAGACTGAAAAATAATGAAACATTAGAAAATTGTTAAAACAAATCCTAAAAAGTGTAAAATGAAAATATTGACTATACTTGACAATTGCATCATAATGTTTCATACAACGAATGAGACGGTAATTTAAAATTTTCTGATCAAAATCATTTTTTGAAACAGAACTTCCAATGTATGTCTTTTGTTCTTGATGAGTAAAATTTTTAGTTTCACATATTTGTTCCTTATTAACGACTGTTTTTATAGCGTTATTTGGAGAATATTGACAAAAAGAATCAGTTTCCTCGATCAATAATTTAAACTCCTGTTTGAGAATTTCAATTTGTCCCACCATTAATACATAAAAATTTGTGACCAACATATCCATCATTGACGCCATAGAAGCTGTTGTCAATAATAATAATGTTTGAAAAATGTATGTGTATATGTAAATTGAATTTTTCGATGTATCAAAAGGATACCATGCTGCAAAAAGTAATACTCTCTCTTCCTAAAAAAGAAAACATTCTGTTTAAAACAAAAACTAAACGTTTTCTTAGGATTTCTTAAGATTAATTTTAAATTAATTTTGAAATTAAAATTTATGAATACATGATATCACCTGTGTTTTGTCAACAAAAGGATACATTATCCACCATACACATGTGAACAAACATAATGCAAGATAAACTAATGAATTATCTCTGGCAATATTGGACCAAATTCTCAGTACATGAAAATGTTCTTTTCGTTGAGGCACAAAAATAGGATTGTGCAATCTTTTTAAAAATTCTTCTATCTTCTTGCGACGGAAGAGAAATAAAAATAATTTTGTGGTATAACCAGCGCATGTTAATGTGAAAAAAGAACTTTCTACCAAGTTTCGTAAATTTCCACGCATTAAATAAATATTGATCAATTGCGACGGTAGCAATGCCATAATGTACAATGACTGATAAACAAATCCATAAATTTTATACAAAATACTGCAAAGTTATTTAGAAAATGAAAATACCTACTTTTTTTCTTGTACCCTTTAATCCATAACATATTTGCTACTATTTATTTAGAAAAAAATGTCTGTGTCACAACTCTCTAGTGTACAATATTAACAGTTTTTATTTTTAAAAATTTTATGGTATGTATATAATATATAAATTACAAAAAAAGGAAAAAACATTATTTTAAAAAATCGATATTTTGTTTAATTGAATTTTGAATAACCTTAATAAGGGATGTCTCACAGCTGAAGGCCAAAGGCCAAATAAAGTGAATGTTCCTAGAGTCATTACAAACGCATCTTCTGGATTATAAATACCTTCCATTGTTTTTGAGTAAATTGTTTTATCGACTTATTGTATATATGGTTATTGAGTTTCTTCCTCCGTCGTTATATTCATGATGGGACTATTTCAAAATTGATTGTGAATGTGAAGACACAGGAAATGGTTTTCTTTACATTGTCATTATGTTACAGAATAATGAAAATTATAGTAACGCCCTTGCCATTAGAGACATTTCAGTTTCTCAGAATAGTCATCAGTAATTTTCCAAGGTTTCCTCCTTTTTATTGATCGTCAAAAGAAAGATTTCGATCGATTATATACTATATATAACTATTGTAGTTGTTTCATTTTCTTGACTTGAAACTTATAAAAATAATTTTCAAATTTAAAAAAAAAATTACACTGCAATATTTAGAGAAAATTGAATAAAACAATAAATTTTATAAAATATTTAATACAAATAAGTAATAATAAGTAAAAATATAAATTATATTATTCTACTTTATTGTTTTAATAAATACTATTTATCTAAAATTTACAAAACTAAAAAATTATAAATTGTATAAAAAATTGTATTAATTTTTATTTCTTTTTGCCTGTTGCAGGTGAGTTTCCATTTTTCTGCTTTTATCCAATTTCTTTTTTCATGTAAGTATCATGAATTATTTGATAGTTTTGTTTGAAATTGCTTAAGAAGAACATAAAAAGAGTAGGACGATTTCAAAACCTGAGAATTTCAATATTTTTTTTCCATTATAGTGTGATAAGTATTGAATTCATAAAAATACAAAAAATTAAAATGATGAAAACATATACATAAAAATTAACTTACGCTGATAAAAGTATGGATTGACAATACAAAAAAATTCCAAATTCGTATTGTGACTGGTTTTTGTAATCGTGTCATAAGTATGCATAATATTTGTCTAAATCCTTTATCTGGTACCGAAGCCCATGAACATTCATAAACTGTGTTTAAAAGTTCAGAGGTCTACTTAATTTATGAAAAATTTTTAATATAACAAATATTACAATTTTTTAATTATAATTAATATAACAAAGATACCTTTACTGTAATACCATTTCCTCGGAATGTGTAAATAAATATTTGAAATAACATACACAATTGATATTGTACAATAACATAGAATTTTATTGTAGTCGGATGCATCTGAAATGTTACTTTAATTAATGCTAAAATATAAAGAAAACATTTAATTAATTATTAATTAATAACATCTTGCCATAGATAATTCGAAATTCGTTAAACATATTACGATGCAGCTTCCAAAAAGTTGTGCCATTATGCTTGTTTGAAAAATTTCTGTCACGTCTTGAATGAAACTAAAAATAAATAAATAAAAAAAAATGGAAGTAATGTTAAATCCAATAAAGATTTTGGAGAAAATGGAATTTTAGTTTTTTTTAGATATCAAAACGTACGTCAATATTGCCCTATGACGATTGACATAATTAACTATTCTTTTCTTGTAAATTTTAATAGCACAACATTTATCACTGGAAAATGAATCATTTAATAATAATTTCTCATTGTAATGATTTGTTGATATTTTTTGCAAATATTTGCCTTCCTCTTGAGTGAAATTTGTACTGATAATATCAGCTAATTCGCGAAAATCTATTTTCAACATATCTATTTGTCCCATCATAGTAATATAAAAAGAAGTCACTAACGAATCTATCATTGTATTGACACTGGCTGTTAAAAATATTGTACCAGATTGAAAAGCATATGTGTAGGCGTAATATGGTTTTATTGTAGCATTGAAAGGATACCATGCCTCAAACATGAAGATATTTTCCTAAAAAAAATATGTCCTTTTTCATCGAGAAAGAGAGAGACATGTTTTGATCTTGTTTTTTTATATAATTCAAAGAGTGCAATAAATTCTGCCTCCTTGACAAGGAAAATATATCTTGGATCTTTTTAATAAAAATATATATACTTCTCGATCTATATAAGGCAAAATAAATAAAGAAAAGGAAATCGAAAAGACGAAATCACTTTTTTTTTTTTTATTTTTCTCACCTGTTTGACATCAACCATTGGAATTAAAGTCCATAAGCCAATGCAACACCAACACATTGTAATAAAAATTATAGAATTTAATTTTGCAATATATGCACATTTTTTCATTATTGTCAAATGTTGATAACAATTTGTCATAAAAATTGGATTTTTCAATTTTTCAAAAAGTTGTTCTATTTTTTTTCGTTTTGCAAAAATATTAATTAATTTAACATTATAAATGAAAAAAGTGAATGTAAAAAATGAACTATCAATTAATTTGTGTAAATTATTACGAGTCAAATACATATTTATAATTTGTGGCAATAAAAGAGCTATGTTGTATAATATATGAAAGCAGCATCCAAAAATTGTGTAGATTGATCTGAAATTTTTTTTTATTTAAATAAAATTTTTTGAAAAAATATATTAATAATATAACCTTAATGTTGGAAGTTTAATTGAAGCAGGCCACATTCCAAGTAAAGTAAAGATTCCTATAACTATAACAAAACCGTCTTCTGGCTTATAGACCTTCATTATTATTCGAGGGACAATTTTCTTCTGCTATTGTTAGCGATTTGAAGATATATATTATGTCTTATTATGTAAATGATTGGGTTTCATTTTCAAATTGATTTTTTCATGTGACGAAAGAGGAAATTGTTATTTTGTTTCTGACATTTTCTGCTCATAATTCAATTATATTTCCTCCTTTTTATCGATTTGAAAATATGATTTTGATCAATGTCTATTTTCTCAGTACTAAAATTTCCTTTCTAACAAATGGTTGATTAAACATTATTACAGTGTCAAAATATTTAAATATTACGATTACAGCTACCAATATTGTTGAAAATTTAATATTGATTTAACAATAATAGATAAAAATATTTCAAGTCGCCGAACAAAAAAAAAAAGAATCAAAAGAGGTAAAGAAGTCCTCTAAACTGAGTAATTCTGTACGAAAATTGTTGCTTTTTAACAATATATATATATATATATATATATATATACTACAGTATGATTAATTCTATCATTCATGAATGGTACTATAGAGACACTTTAATGCGACTCTTCACAGACATTTTCTGCTTCATAAAGCAAATGGTTCTCTTCTCTAGAAAAAGGTATTCGTATATTATATGTATACCTTTTTTTTAAATTTTAACTATACTTTCAGGAAAATTTATAATAATGCCAACATTAATTCATAAACGGTAAAAAAAATCTCTTTTCATTGAAATATACACAAAGACAAAAGTGCTTTTGAAAAAAAATATTAAACGAATTTAATTCAGATGCAAATAATTATATTATTACAGTGAGATAATAATAAAAAAAAAACTTTAATAGCAAAAATAGAAAGAATGTAAATTTAAATACCATAAAAGAATGAAATAGAACAAAATTAGTAATAAACAATAAAATATTAAAATATAATAAATTTCAAAGTATACAAAACTGTAAAATTTTTAATATTTGAAAATATAACATTTTTAATTGCAAAATTAAATAACAAAACTTTTTGTGCTTTAAAAAAAAGTAAATTCAAATCATTTTTAAAAAATCATGAAAATAAATTTTTTTAAATTTTAATAAAATTGGAAGTTTGTCAACAAATTTATTTATCGAATTTCAAGAATGTAATTGCAAAAAAATTCTAAATTTCAAAAAATATTATCTTCCATTTAATAATAAAAAAAAGATTAATAATAAAAAACAGTATCAAATTTTTGAACTTTCATGTTAACAATTGATCAAATTATCAACAGTGGATGACATATAAACTCTGCGCAAACCTCGCTTACAATTGGTCGATAATGGAAATTTCTTTTTACCTACCTTACCATCAAAAGCTTCGGTGTTATCTTCTCTAGGACGAGCTTGCAAGCTCATCGCTGCGCCCATTACAATTCAAACTATTTGAAGGTAAAGCAGATGCCTGTAATTTTAATATATTTTATCAATGTTTCTTTTGATGGTAACAATATTTTATTTATTCTAAATAGATAAATAGAAAATCATCAAAAATAGGTATTTATATTTTTTATATTAAAAATTATCCAATTTTTTAAAAACATTTTTTTTATAGCAAAAAGTTTGGAACAATTTTTTCAAACGCAGTAATTTTTGTTATTTTAATTTATTTCTACCATATGAAGGAATTATTTATATTTTTTTTCTCGATTATTAATTATTAAAAAATATTTTAAGAAGAAAAATGTGATAAAATGTTGATTTTTTTTAGTGGTAATAAAAATTTTCTCATTGTAATGGTAAAATTATTTTCTAAGAAAATGAGTTTTGACTTTCAAAAGTTCAGACATCGATCATTGGTCTATTCAGCTAAATTCTTGATCTAGCTAGCAATGTAGCAGACTTCTTCATCAATCATATCGCTAACGCGATCACATTGATTCATCAAACTCAATGAGCTGCATTTTTCCTCTCCTTTCCCCTATTTTTTTCCTATTTTTAGTTTTACTCGAAGAATTCTTTGAATAATTATTCCATTATAGTAGAAAATAATTAAAAACCACTGCCAAGTTCAAACATCACTTTTGGATTTCAGTGGTGGTATATTTTATTAAAATAAAACAATTAATTTAATAAATTATCAACAAAGTTCTATTGTATAAAAAAATATTTATCTTTATTAATTTGGTAAATGGATTTTATCTATCAGACTAAATGGAATTGTTATTTTTTTCCAGAATGTCAATTAATTTTATTTGCAATAGTTTGAATCAAATACAAGTAAAAAAAATATTTTTTTTCGTGTACAAAAAGAAATTTTTACAAAGAATAAAATAAAAAGTATGTTGCTGCATGTAAATGTAATTGAATTTTTAGCTATTATATTAGTTTTTTTTTGTCTTCCTGAAATTATTGTTTACCGGTTTACGTGAATTCTAAAAGCTCTTCTCGACCAATTGGAATGTGACTGCTAGAGTGCATCCAATTTAGAAAGTGCACTTTGCCATCCAATATTGTAAAAAAGTCGAAAACCACTTGTAAATTTTTTTTTTCATTTCACATTGTCAATATGTATACGATGATTCAGCAAATTTTAATTTGTCAAAACTGTATACAAAGTAACGCAAGTATTTTATTGTATTTTCTTAGAACATTTTTTTTATATCCTTTAATAAAGTAATTATTTAGAAAAAAGAAATTAACAACAAAAAATAATTTACGTCATTGCCAAATTGTAAATTTTCAATATCCCCTTATCTTTTATTGTCCAATTCCATTATCGTTATTCCGTCTTGGATATATTTGAAATGTAGGAGAAAAATAAAAATTTTTCCGTTCCAAAGATTTGTCAATACTTTTCACAGATCTCAATTTCTTTGAAATGACCTTTTCCTTTTCAACTGTCAATGTAGAAAGTTAACTGCACATTTAAGAAATATGTTCCTATTGCACATCTATTTATATATACTTACTAGATGAAAAACATTTTTATAAAATATAAAATACATACACTTTTTGAAAAAACATTAGGAAAATTAAAAATAAATAGATGTTTTTATATTTTTTAATCAAAAATATGGACATTTCGACCTCTATCTAATTAACAGTAGTGAAATAAGCTATAGTCAGACAAATAGTTTTTAATTCATTTACGTTCAGTATCAGTAATCAAAAACAGTATTAGTCAGACAGAACTTATTTGAATTGTTTTGTAATTATTACATGAGTAGCATAAGTAAGTTTTAGTCAGATAGAACCCTTTAAATTTTTTCTGTAATTATTTTAATAATTAATAAAAATAGAATTTCAATCAGACATATAATATGTCTGATTAAATTTATGAAAATTCTTTCATTTTTTTTGGTGTAAATTTTTCATCATTGTATTTATTGTTTTAATATTATTTTTTTGAGTATTTACTGTTAATATATTCATTGCTAATATAGAATGAAATTCAGTCAATTGCAGTCAATGGAAAAAATCGAAATGTTAAAAGCTTCTATCAGATTCTCATCGACGCATATTATACAGTATATGCAATGGAAAAGTTTTTACCGCACTAGAAATTCTTTTATGAGTCCGCACAATTATCTTCCAATAAAAAAAAATAAAAAAAAAAGTTCTGTACTTTTTCACTCGGCTGTATATATTTTTCATTTACTTTTTAATGTCTTTTTATTTTTTCAAAAGAAAAATGGGAAAATTATAAAAGTTGCGCATCTGTATTAAAAACATGTATAGACTTATATTATTTTCATTTGTTTTTTTTTATATTCTGTTAGTCTTTTTTTGTAACTAAATTTATCTATTTTCTTCGTCTGACTTTTGAATTTTTTCTTCATCTCTTATTGGTGTATTTTAGCGTAATTTGTTATTTTTTTAAATTGATTCATTAACTTTTTTATTGGTAAAATCTCGATGAGCAAATTAAGGTAGCGTAATTTTGATTTTTTTTTTGTTTCAAATTCCGGCTGTTCTTTGCGAGAAATGAACGATATCTTTTGTGAGGGGAAGTGAAGAGAGTGTGATGGTGCAATTTATATGATAATTGGTTTCTTCGAAAGACGAGCTTTCCTTCGGTCGCAGGACTTTTCTTCTATGCTGAGCCATTCTTTGTCAGCCATTATGCTTTTCAAGTGCATTGTTCCTACCTTTTTCTTACAATTGACTTTTTCCTACATTTCTTTTCTTTTTCTCTCTTTCCCTCTCTCTCTCGCCATATCCACACCTCTCCTTTTCTAGTTTCAATTCCTTGTTTGTTCCTCAAATCAATGAATTCCATTCAATCTGCAATGATATCCGCAATCCATTTATTATGTCTATCGCCAAGAGATTTTATCATCCATAGGCGTGCATTTTTCTACAATATGAACCTAAATTTTTCAATTTTTAAGAAACAAAATAAAATAAATACAAGTAAATTTTAACTGATTTAAACTATGAGAATTTTTGCGTGAAAATCTTAAAACTTTTTGAATTTAAAAAAGTGTCGGTAATATATGTATATAAAGTGGAAGGAAACGGGATTTTCAAAGAAAAGGAGGTTAGAGAAATGGTTATTGATTTTAGTGTTGTATATATTATAGTTGAAGACTAGAACAAACGTTCTTCTCTTAAAAATATATGTACACACCCCCTCATCTTTTTATTCCTAATCTTTTTACTAGTGTAACCAGCTTCCTCTATATAGTCTTCGAAATCGTATTTTTTGGATAATTTCGTCACACACTTTTTTAGAGAAAATAACAAAGTAGTCCTTTTTACCCCTATCATGGGTAACTTTACCCCTTACTAGACTATTTTACCCCGTTTCTGTAATTAATTTTAACTCTGAAGTAGAAAAAAAACAAAAATATTCCGAAACAAATATTCCTTCAAGAAAATATGTTTTTTAACAGTTATTGGAAATACATTTTTTGTTGTTACATTATTATAGAAATTATTTTTATTATTATTATTATTATAAAATTTTATGTAAAAAATGCAAAATTGATTTTGGCAAGAAATATGCATCATCCGTACATACGATAGTTTCGTGTTTCTGCACACGTATTGCAATTACTGCATCACGTAGAAGTCTGACAGCTGAACGAAGTCCATA